AATTTTTGGGATGGGCACATGAAAAATGCAACCTCGCAAGACGAACTGTAAATTTCACCCCAGTCATTGGACATAACATCCAGAACTATGACCTTCACCACATTAGCCTCGCATTGCATGAATGCGAGCCAACAAGTACATTGAGTGTTATACCTAGCACCGACGAAAAATATATATCGTTAAGCATTGGAGTCCTAATTAAAACTATAAAAAGGAAAAACGGATCTGAGCAAAAAGTTTTTGAATACCTCAGATTTATTGACTCATGCAAGTTTTTGAATTCTTCCCTGCAAAAATTGGTTGATAATCTACCAGCGGAAAAAATGTCAATTTTGAACAAGTATTTTGCAAACGAGACGGAGGAGCAACGGTGTCTGATACGACAAAAAGGTTTCTACCCTTATTCGTACATGACCGGAAGAGAAAAATTTGCAGAAAAAGAATTGCCTCCTTTGCAAAATTGGTCCGATGTTTTGAATGGAGGAAAAGTTGCAGTTTCACAAGCGGATCTGGAACATGCAAAGAAAGTTTTTAGAGTGTTCAAATGTCAAAACTTGGAGGATTATCACAACTTGTATCTCAAGTGTGATACACTCCTTCTTGCTTGCGTCTTTGAAGAATTTCGACAAATTAGTCACCAAACTTATGGTCTGGACTGCGCGCACCATTTTAGTGCTTCAAACTTAGCTGGAGACGCCTTCAAACGTATCTGCAAAGACTCGAATGTTCAGCTTTTATCAGACCGCAGGCATCTCGAAATGGTCGAGAATATGATGCGAGGTGGTACTGCATCCGTGTTCCATAGTCGGTTTTTCAAAGCCAACAACAAAGAATGCCCCGACTTCAACCCAGATCAACCTAGCACCTACGGGTTTATGATCGATGCAAATAACCTCTATGGCGGCGTCATGCAAACGGAGAAATTACCGGTGCGTAACTTTGAGCTAATAGAGCATATAGAAGACGAGGTGATTGTGAACCAAATCCTCAACATGGCTGAAGACTCTTTGATTGGATTTATATTGGAAGTTGATCTCGAGTATCCAGAAGAACTGCATGAGGATCATCAAGATTACCCTTTAGCTCCTACTAAAGAAAGTGTACCCCAGGATTGGTTGAGTCCCTACCAAACAAATTTACTCGAGCAGATGAAAAATCAAGACATTGCAAGACGTTCAATTGGAAAGACCAAAAAGTTACTGCAGACGCTGCATGACAAGTCAAATTATACAATTCATTACAAACTATTGCAATTGTTTGTTAGGTTGGGACTTAAAGTTAAAAAAGTGCACCGTGTGCTGAAGTTTGAACAAGAAGCATGGTTAGAACCATACATCACATTGAACACGACTAAACGACAACAAGCTAGAAATAAATTTGAGGAGGATTTGTACAAACTACTGAACAATTGTGCTTATGGGAAAACATGCGAGTCGAAGCGCAAACGGATGCTTGTTCGGATAGTTAGAGATTATCATGCCGCTTTGCGAGAAATTAGTGCATTCGAATTTAAATCCTACAAAATTTTTGGAGAAAACTTGGCAGCGTTCACTTCGAATCCAACAAAAATCTATTGGGATGTCCCAACAATTGTGGGAGCTAGTGTTCTTGAGTTAGCAAAGTTTCACATGTATAAATTTCATTACGATATAATGAAACTAAATTTTGAATGTCAACTATTGTATTCTGATACAGACAGTCTCCTGTACCAAGTCAAAAGTGAAGATTTATACCGAGAAGTTTCCGAAAAAAGGAATATTTTGAATGAACTTGACTTGTCAAATTACCCGAAGAACCACCCTCTCTACGACCCGAAAAACAAAATGGTTGTTTTAAAATTCAAGGATGAGTTTCCAGGAGACATTATAACCGAGTTTATATCCCTCAAACCCAAGCTTTATTCCATTTTGTCCAGAGGTAATTAATTTCTATTTGCCTTATTTGTGAGCACGAATTTCAAAAATTTTGATTTTTTGTGATTTTTTTTTTCGGAAGGCAATTTTTATTTGTGGGCGAAAAAATGTAATTTTATCAAAAAAAAAAGAAATTTGGAAAAAACTTTTTAGGCGAAAAAGTATAATTTTTTTTGAAATTTTTTTTTTGTGGGCGGTTTTTTTTTTGTGGGCGAAATTTTTTTCTTTTTTTTGGAAAAAAAAAAATTTTTTTTGTTCGAAAAAAAATTTCGGGCGAAAAAGTGTTTTTTTGTTTTTAAAAAAAATTGGAAAAAACTTTTTAGGCGAAAAAAAAAATTTTTTTGAAAATTTTTGGTTTTTTTTTTTTTGTGGGCGAAAAATTTTTTTAAAAAAAATTTTTTTGTCGGCAAAAAATTTTTTTTAAAAAATTTTTTTGTCGGGGATTTTTTTTTGTGTTGGTTGATTGTTGTTTTTTTTTAATGATGACTAATTTTTAAGGTCACACCTGGCCTTCATGTATTTTTTTTTTTGTTGCACCTGGCCTTCAAGTTAACATGATGTAGCTCTTAAAAAAACATCGTATTTGGTTATTTTACCACCACACATTAGTGATCATCAAAAAATTGATTAGTAATCATATAAATAAAATTTTAGACTGCAGAAAATTATCGGCGAAAGGTGTATCCAAAGCTGCTCAGAAGATGTTGAGTCATCAGCGATATCGAGACACCTTGACCTCTGGCTCGTTATTCAAAACTGAAAACAGTCGAATCGCATCCGAGTCACACAATCTGCAAACAGTGACTTCGACGAAAACATCGTTATCAGCTTTTGATGACAAACGCTACATCCTCGATGATGGTCAGCAGACTCTTCCCTACGGTCACAAAAACATCGTGGGTCAAACTGTGATTGGCATTGATGATAGTGATGATAACACAGCCGCTGTTAATTCTGACCCAACTGACGATGACGATTTGGAAAAATGGATGCCATTTTTTGAAGATCGTCAACAACCAGTGTCGTGGGATTGTGACGATTTCCTAGATGGGGTGTCTGAAGAATTCGCTAACACTCAAAACGTTGATTGGGACCATCCGGAAATTGATGATGAATACTCTGAGGATAGTTTTGCTGTTGAGAACACACAACCACATCGCTCGCTTCGACAACTGATGGACCAGGTCAATAGCAGTTGGCAAACTCCAGACCCCGGTCTGATTCGGGCAGCAGAAACCAACGACAGTGATATTGATAGCGGGGATATCGCGGATCTGGAGGCCAATACTTCCGATGAGGACGAGTCGTCATTCTTCAACGATTCGTTTTTCGATTATGAAGCAGTTGAAGTAGAAGAACCACGGTCAAAAAATCGACGAATAGATTAAAACACAAAAAAACACCACATTAACTTTTGTATAGTAAATAAAATTCAGTTATTTAATATGAGAATTGTCTGTACATAAAATTTGACCTACCGCTATTCCGTGTTTAGTGTGTATTTAAGTGCGAGTTTTTGTTCAGCTTTGGAACTCAATTAATCTGGGATATAAACAATTTCATTTAAGCGATAGTGTCTTTAGCATACTTTTGTATGTATTTGTATGTAATTTGAGTTTGAATCAAAGTTTTAAGAAGAATTGAGCAAACAGTCTATAGCGCAGTTAAACACTCCAGCTGGTTTCAGAACGAAGATTTGGCAAATCCTTTCCCGCACCAAACATGTAACCACAACGTTCAGTGGGAATACTCAATAATATACCGAAGTTTTACATGAGGACTATTAGGTATAAAATTATACATGGTGACAATTAGGATTATTACATGGTGACCATTGCTGATCATTTAATACATGGTGACCATTATGATTTATACCTAATGGTCATCCATGTATGACAACCCCCCCCCCCCCGATCCTAGTGCACTATATGCATACTACTGAGGTCTTTGTTCGAGACTCTTGGTCGCACTAGATGAGCTTATGTCCGGCGTGGCTCACTCGTAGAGAAATTTCAGATAAGGTTTACCGCCTGTTCGTAACATCTTGTTTTCGTCCGGATAGATTCGTGCAGCTTCTTAGTCTAATACCAAAATTAATCTTACCCTTTCATCTCCTAGTCTGAATAGATCTAGTGTATACTGGTATCTGCGAGATAAGATATCAGGAATTGTTCTGAAGGAGAACGACTGTTTGCAAACTTATTTTTATTTTGTTCTGTCGCTGGAACTATGAATAGTTTCAGCTATGCAATTTATAGTAAGCGTTAGTTATGGATCATGTTTGGTTGGTAAGAAATATTTTACAGAGATAGTTTGATCAAAAATACAATTGGATATAAATATTAGTTTTAAACTGGTTCCACTTGATTTTGATGAAAAAAATTACTTCCATTGTTAAAGAAGCGCTTGACCCAGTGCGAACTAAATTCAGGCAAAAGGATGTACACATTGGGAACATTAACACGTTTTCAAAAAAGAAGCTCAAGCTCAGTAATGGAGGACAGATGTCCTGATAGATTGTGTAATGCAGCCATTATGCCAATGCTTATGCCAATTCTACTGGTTAAATTTTAGAAAATGGTACGGGGGACACCAGAAGAGCGGAAAACCGATCATTTTGGCTCCGTCCTAAAAAAAAACATTAAGAATGCACTCCTTGAAGTAACAATAGTTTTCACTGTTTGTACAATTTAAGGAAATTTTACCAAAAAAATTGCGGTACCGCGACAACTCGCAAGAAAAGACAACTCGCAACAAAAGACAACTCGCAAAATTTTGAAGCTAATTGGAAACTTTAAGTTCTCGGTTTAAGGTTGCCGCTTTGCGGCGATAACCGGCTCTCAATTTCGTATATTCAAGTCCTACCCTTTATTGGCAAGCTCGCAACACGAATATTGCAAGTAGTCTTTCAATGCGAGTTGTCTTATATTGCGAGTTGTCTTTTCTTCTTGCGAGTTGTCGCATTAGGAGAAATTGCTATGGTGATATAATAGAGCCCCAAACGTGCAAAAATTATATGAACTGAAAACGATCAATCAATGTAATTGAGACAATTGTATCTCCTTAAACAATTTGAAGGTGACTTACTGTTGAAGAAAACAATGCAGTTGCTTTTGCCACTTTCACCATTAATGTTTGTAGTAGTGACAAACACCTCGTATTTTGCGTAAGCTTTCAAATTGGATAAAATCAGAGTTTGGTTATTTTCACCTGGAGAGGTGGAAGGCAAAACTTCAAAGACGAACTTGGCCCCGACATAACTGGTAACATCGGTGAAAGAAGATAGCTCAATTAGGTGAACTGAGAAATATGATATTGAATCGAATGATAAACCAAAATCAATGCCTTCGATCGTAAATTGATTGGATGTCATAAGATCATTTTCTGATTGGCTAGCACTAGTTGCTGCGTCGTTTGATTGGTCAGAATGTTTAGATCTCGATATGGTTTGTCCCCGTGATAAAGTCCACGTAACCAAATAGTCCATACTCGGCATTCGGGTAACCGAAAGTAGATAGGGTTCACGTGGTATATTTGGGTTTCGTCTACGGTATGCTAAAAATCAGAAACAATTTAAAGAACAACACTTAAAAAATCACAAATCATCATAAAAGTTCGATTTGAGTTCGTGTTTTAATTACGCCGTAGAAATTGACGGAGACATTGTCATCAGAATCAACAAAAAAATTTGAGATACTGCAAGTTTTTTTATTCTGTTCAAGTTAGTGAAACCTGCAATGATAATTGATAGTGAAACGTTGAACTCTGTAGTTGACTATGATTTCTTAATCTGGAACAAATGTACAGTGCTGATTTGAATTATTTGGACAAAATGAACAGAATTGGAATATCTTAACGCGTTTTTCTCAAACTGTGTTTGAGATTGAACAAAATATAAACATACGTTGCCTAGGTTTTTCTGTAGAAATTTATGCTGAAAGTCATTTTATGAAATTCGGGACCAAAAGTTTACTTCGAAAAAAGGTCGCTTTTGGCTATTTTTTTTTCAATCAAAAACTACGACGAAAGTACTTGTTTTCTAAATGATCCATAATATCAAAGTGAACCCATTATATCAAAGTTTATGTAGCCCGAAAAGGTTGGTTTCAGGAGGGATTTTTTTCTGCAGAAAATTGTTAAAAGCTAATTTAACTCTTGAAGCATGTGGATGAGAAATTTGTACAAAAAAACAAAATTACACCAAATTGTTAAAACACTTCAAACCCTGAAACGCTCGTTTATGCATGTGCCATGTCTTCTTCCACCATATTTCGAGAAAAAAAAAATGATTTTTTGTCTAAAAATATGGTGGAGGAAGACCAGGGACAAGCCTAAACGTGCATTTCAGGGCCAGAAACGCACGTTTATGCATGTCCCAAGCCTTCCCCTACCATATCCCCCGGTAGAAGCTAGAACCTATAACCTAGAACCATTCCCCTTCACTCCCCCTCCCCCTACCTTCCCGCTCTGTAGAACCATTCCCCCACCCCGGGTAGAACCATCCCCCTCCCCTGTAGAACCATCAACCCCCCCCCCCCCCCGGTAGAACCCCACACCAGGTAGAACCATCACCCCTCCCCTGTAGCACCACATCCCCCTCCCCCGCATAACCATCCTCCCCATTCCCAGATTCTCCCCGTCTTCAGCCATTAAATACCCCCCTCATTTAAATAAGGGGAGAAGGGTAGTGGGCGAGGAAGGGTCAGTAGGCCGGGTGGCGGGGAGGGGTACTATGGCGATGGTAAAAAATAACAGTTAAATAAAATGTTAAACTACCAAATTGAAAAGGTAGAGGAACTTAAACGAGTAAAATCTACAGAAAAATTTAAATTTATGAAAAGTAATCCACAGCAACAGCACTAAATAGGAATTGAATTAACTTGCAGAACTTGCAAAATTCACTAAAAACGTCTCAAATGGAGTCGCAAACGATTATAACGGATTATATTGATTAAAAAATGATTAGGATTATAATCCATTTTTATTAGACTCTAATCGATTACTTTTTTAGTTTTATGGATACTGACTATAAAATGACAATATAATAGATTGTTATTCATGAAACTCCAGTGCGGGCGTCCCAAGTTGGCCAAAATGGCAATCTTTAAACCCCCTTAACTGAACGAAAAATGATCACCGGTGAAATATCTTTTCAAGTTTAAACTCAGGACAACAATACCTTTTGAATGATATTCCGATATATATTTTTGAAAATTCCGTCAAAAACGGCTAGTTAAAAAGTCGAAAATTGTCTGATGAAAAAACCGTGCTCGTAGTTTGAGGGTAAAGCAACATTACCCAGCCCAGAAAAATAATCAAAAAAATTGCATGTAGTTCTTAAACAGGGGCACAACATCGGTTCGCCATGATGAGCTGTACAGCTCTTGGGTTGGTCCTTTCCCCCGTGGATAAATGGTCTTAAATGAATTTAACCCACCCGAGCACAATTATTCCGTAGCTTTCGTTACAAAACTCGGAACAAAAACCCACCCCGAGCACAAACATTCCGTTACTTTCGTCTCGGAACAATAAAAACATTTGTCATGCTTGCATTCTAGCATTTTCATCTGGTTCCCTCCCTCCCTCGCCTTAGGGGAAATATAGTTCAGAGATAAAAAGCATAAAAAGAAAAAAAATAAAAAGCACTGAACGCAGCAAAAACCTCAAAATAATTTAAAATATTTTTTGTAGTAGAATGCAAAACTTCGCTTATTTCTCGCAAGTCGAATGCAAATCTTGCTAAATTCTTGCACAATGAATGCAAATCTAACAAAAAATTTTCAAGAAAAAGCAAGAATAAAGATACCTAGCAAGATTTGCATTCCGAGAATGCTGGGTAGTAAAAAGCGAACATTTTCAAATTACTTAAAATTATTTTCATTAACTTATCAGTAATAAATGACTTCGAAAACTTGAAAACGACCTGGTGAACTAACTTTGAGACTGCTGTTTCTGTTTCTGCAACTCCGTTTTCCATTCCTCGTCAACTTCTCCTGGAATGCGGGCGAATACTGTGTCGAATGAGGACCATCTACGGGGGTGGCCTATCTGTGCAGACACCCTGCTGTGCACGGGTGATCTCAAGTAGGCAGGACGAGTAGCTATCAGCGAATCAGCCGACACAAGAGCTAAATTGTTCGTTTTATCCACCAGAAGTACTGCGATTACCAGGAATGGTATCATCTTCTAAATTTGAAAAGTAACATCAAGCTAGGGTTTCAGCCATCAGGCTATTCTCCAGAAAGTATTTACGAAGAAAAAAGTGTTCGGAATAACTCTTCTTTTTAGGGTCCCTGAATATAAATTAAAGAATTCAGTTATTTATAAGTTACGCTTTTTTGACACATGAAAAAACCATGTTTGACGTAATGCGGGATCTTTGAAAGATAAATGCTTGTTAACTAAAAGGTTTCAAGTTCACTTTGACTAGATATTAGTCTTATTCACATAACAGGCTGATCGAAACAATAACAAAAACTTATTATGGTTTACTTAACGGTGGTACATTTTGATTTAAATATGTGCCGAGCAAATGTCCTTACGGCTGAAAGGTTTGCGAACTTGCTATGTTGACTTTCGAGTTTCCGGCTTTGAAATAAACTCAGAGTTCTTGAAAAACAATTGGAGTCAATTTCTCCTGACCCATGTTTAGTGGTGTGCTTGTTACACTGAATAAGCCACCTAAATCACAACAAACATGTATAAGAAAGGATATTTTTAGTAAATTGAATTAACTTTGTAGGGTTCTCAGACTTTCAAAATCAGTAAATCAATTATTTTCCACCTGACCAAATACACAATTAAGCATTTATTTTCAATATTCCTGATTGTACATTTCAAAAAACTCCCTTGTATAATGAAAACTTTTGAAAGGTAGCGCGTTTCAACAATATTTCTTCCTGACCATTAAGTTCAACAATCCCAACACAGCTAAAATTCCGAAATTGTATTTTCATTACAAATCCAATATTATTTGATGACTCAAAAATTTTCATTGGTATCTAATGAGCATAAAAGACGAGTCTGTAGAAGAGTTAAAGCAAAACTTTTGGCAAAATATGTGACCTTAATCAGGGGTGGATCTAAGATTTTCTCGAGGGGGGAGGGGCGGATTTTCATAATCATTTCGAAAATTTTGTCTGACTTTTTTATAGATCGAACAAATTGATTTTCCAAGATCTCCCAAAGTACTACACAGACTCTTTTTTGGCTTGCGCCGCAGGCAAAACTTTGAAAAAACAGGCCGAAAAAGGCGTTTTTAGGCACTTTTTGGAAAATTTTGACCAAAAAATTAGGTTTTTTCGGCGCGCGCTTCCCCCTTAAAACTACTAATTCCTGCCGCCGAAGGCCCTCTTAGAAAAAATTTTAGGATTCATCACCAAAAATGGATATCTCAAAATATTACAAAGGGGGGACCCTTTGGGTCGACAGGGGGTCGAATCCCTGAGGGGAAAAGGCGTCCGCCCCCGCCCCTCCCCTAAATCCGCTCCTGACTTTGATTAACCGAATCGGCTAAATTAAAATTGCTCGCTTGAAGGGCTCAGACTTTGTGTATATTTTTTGATAGATCCGATAACAAAAAATATAAGTGTTTTGTGCAGGCTACTAAATCGATTGAACTCATAAAACTTTCAGGTTTTGATAGTTCGCATTGTTTATTTGCAAAAACTATTTTCACAATCAAGTTTGGCGAGCGATGAATATTTGAAAATTTTCTAAAGACGGTTTGAATAGCTGTTTATCAGATTCACTTTGAGCGATGGCCTTTCCGATTTTCAGAGTTGTTTTCAAAGTATAATTTATAAGCAATTTCAAAAAAAAGCTTATCGCAGGTTTTTTTTTCAGGCAAGCGTACAGAGCAATAAACTTTGAGATAATTTGAAAATTGCTCTAATATTTTTTTCCAAGCGAATTTCGATTGTTGCAAGCGATGCATCTTTGAAAAACATGAAGACTCATGCTGCGCAAAAAAAAAATTCAAAGCAGGATACTTCAGCGTACAAACTTTGAAAAACTTCAAGTTCTTTATGAAGAAAAAAAATTTCAACGTTACATATTTTTCTAAAAATTTTAAATATTTCAAGTTGTTTTGATAGCTTTAACTGCTTCGAAAAAAAATCAATTTATTAAGCTAAGCTAATTGAATAAAGAATTTTTCCTCATATTTTTTGACAAATTGGTTTGATTAGCACAGCGAAAATTGTTTTACTTTTTAATTTTCGTAAAATTAAATTTCTTTTTATACGTTGGCTTGCTTCACAAAGAATTATTGTTCCGAATTTTGTAACAAAAGAAACAGAATAATTGTGCTCGGGGTGGTTTTTAAAGCTGTTTGTATAGTTTGAATTGGTTGATTGATGTCTAAAAATTTGACAAGTCTGCTCGTATCAGGGCGAAGCCCTGAATGTTCCGACTGCCTTTTGAGGTTTATGGAGCAGTAATAACAAGAAAAATTAAATGTAATAAAACAAAATGAACATTTTTTTTCTAAAACCTGAATTTTTTTTAATGAAAAATATCCCACCACACGCCATATAAAGTACAAAAGGATAGATTTCGCTCCTTGTAACAAATCAGTTATGGTAAATAAGCTTCTTTCAACCATTTTAGAACGATTTCTAAGACGGATTAAATATATCGCGCGTTAATTGTCCCAAATTGGCCGAAATGGCAATCTTTAAACCCCCATAACTTTACGAAAAAAGATTACAGGTGAAATTTCTTTTCAAATTTCAACTCAGGACAACAATATTTTTTGTAAGATATAAAAAAAATTCCTTCTAAAATGGCTAGTTAAAAAGTCGAAATTTGTCTGAAGAAAAAAACCCACCTCGACTACAATTATTCCGTTACTTTCGTATCGAAAGTCGGAAAAATAAAATATTTCCAATTTTTCAATAATTTAGGACGCTACGCAGAAATTGGGATTTTTAACAAGCTATTTCAGCATTGATTTTTCGAAAAACATCAGATTGCTTCGATCGTTTTGATTTAGTAGCCTTAGTTGACGCTAATTGCAGCAAGTATTTCGAGCGATAAAAATTTGACACATATCAAGTTGCTTTCTTAACAGCTAGAACTGGTTCACTAAAGGTGTTCGAACTAAGTCGTTCAACCGATAAAAATGTGAACTAATTAAAGCTTTTTGTATAACTTGAATTGGTTGGCTGATGTCTAAAATTTTGAGGCGACTAACCCTAAGATTTAACAACACTGCTCGTATCAGGGCGAAGCCCTGAATGTTCCGACTGCCTTTTGAGGTTTATGGAGCAGTAACAACAAAAAAAAATCATGTAATAAAACAAAATGAACATTTTTTTTTAATTTGATTTTTTTTTATGAAAAACATCCCCCCACACGCCATATAAAGTACAAAAGGATGGATTTCGCTCCTTGTAACAAATCAATTATTGCAAATAAGCTTCTTTCAACCAATTCAGAACGAGTTCTAAGACGGATTAAATATCCGCTTACGCGTTAATAGCGCGAAATATATCGCGCGTTAATTGTCCCAAATTGGCAAAATGGCAAGCTTTAAACCCTCATTACTTTACGAAAAATGGTCACAGGTGAAACATCTTTTCAAGTTCAGGCTCAGGACAACAATAGCTTTCGAATGATACAAATATGAACAAAAATGAGTCAAAAATGGCTAGTTAAAAAGTCGAATTTTGTCTGAAGAAAAAAAAAACCCAACCCGAGCACAAATGTTCCGTTACTTTCGTATAGAAAGTCGGAACAACAATTCAATTTGCTCTGATAGCTTGAAATGGTTGGATAATTTGCAACTTTGCTGAAAGTAGCAAGAGTTGAATCGCAAAAATTTACTTCAAATTTTTCGCGTCGTTTTGTGGCAACGAGCAAATCAACTGTCGACTAGGCTTCAAATATAAAATTCTTGTTTGGCAGGTGATGTTAACGTCATGCGCTATCTGGTTTTGCTAGATCAAGTATTTCAGGTTAGTGAAAATGCGGAAAAATTATTTTTCTTACCAAGTTTTACCAACTTTTTTTTTTCATCTCAACACTATTTTTACTATATATCAATTAAATTTTCAATCAGTTTGCAATTACCACTGTTTTGTAAAAAAAAAGAAGCAATAAGAATCTTAACAAAATGTTAATAGCATGAAGCCTTGCGAGAATGTTAAAGAGGCAGTCAAAGGCACCAACTTGTTCTGATTACATGAAATGCCTTTTTCGAATTTTGTTTTGCTGTTGAAAGCTTCGCAAATTATTAAGGTGTGAAACATCCTAATGTGTTGTTGTTTTCTTACCTTGAATCAGACAGTGAAAAAACGCAGGCTATTTAAGCGACAAAACTATGTTAAAATACTCAATTCTTTCGATAGCCAGAAGGGATTTATTGATTTCAAGCAAGGCTTTTAGAAATGAGACTTTCACTGATCTGAGTGGTGATCTTAGATTGCAATGATTCGAAAAATTCCAAATGTTTAAGTCACCTATTCATGTAATTAGGTTTTTAAATTTTCAAGCTGTTTTCATTGCTTGAATCTATACGAAAAACCTGATACTGTTTCGAAAACAATCAACTTAAGCTACCAAAAATTTCAGTGTCGTAGCTTGACTCGGTTCTCAAAAGTTTGTCGGTCCATCGCAGCCTGGATCAGTTCCAAAAAACTTGTTTTTCATGCCAAAAAGAAAGATTTTAAGTGTTTCTCGTTAAAAATTAACCAGTTCACATAAATCTGTTTTGTTAAATTGGATTGGAATTTTAAAAATTTCATAAACAAACCATTTGAGCTATGAAGCTTGGAAATAATTCTATTTAATTTACAGACCAAATCGGTTCGCGAAAAGTTCAAGCTATGACACCATGAAACAATCCAAGTGGCTTTAAGAACCGAATCGTGTTGCAGAAATTTGCAAAAAGCCAAACAATTCAAGTTATTTCATAGTATGAATTGGTTCGCAAAAGTAAATATTTTTTTAGCAAGCCACTCCAGCTATGCAATTTAGATATAACTTGACTAATTTGACTAATTTCTTGAACCGATTCGGCTCGCAAAATGTTTAAGTTTTTCAGAGGAATTTTTTGGTGCCATAAAACTTCCAATTATTTCAAGTTTATATACGGAGCAAATATTTTTGCAAAAAAAATCAGATGGAACAAATTCAGGCAAGGAAAAGTTTAATTAGTCCAAGTTTTTTTTCGAAAAATTCAA